TTGTGTTTTTATGTACACTTTTGCATATAATATAAACTGCAGCAAGTAGTGCACCATTTGTAATTGCTTAGGAGAGAAGGTTCTTTTCAGTTGTAAAAACCAATAAATTGTAAGGTTATTATCCATACTATTGTTTTCTATTTTATTATCATTTGAATAGAATAAAAAGTTTGTGTTTGATACATCATAGGCGAATTGCACAAATACATTAAACCATTGTTGATGAATCTTGTATGCTTATATGGTTGGATTCTGGTTCATCAAAATGCAGCCTTAATGTATCCAAAGATGGCACACTAAACAGGTGTTCAACTTGCAATTTACAGACAAAAAATCAATATCTGAATCAAAAGAGACGTGGCAATGGCAAGATATCAACCACCCAGTCCCAGTCCCAGTCCCAGTCCCATTCTCCTCTGGTTACTGATCATGTTCATGGTCATCACACCATGGAGGTCCTCAATGGCACGGTGCTTCTCAAGGAGGTGTGCAACTAGATGTCCAACAAAGCATTCTGTGTTACGACTTTAACCGCTGACCCAGATGCAGGTGGCTACCAAGCCCTCCCCGGTGACCTTGCTAATGCTGCTTTACGGTTAGCTCAAACCAAGGCCACCCATGTGCAATCTCCTCGTGGCCCTCCTACTTAAAAATGGCCACTTCAACTCCGACTCACTATACTCCACGGTGGAACAGATGAATGGTGCTGTGGATGTTACGCGAAATCTGTATCATATCCACCAGATATTTTACCATTTAAGATTTGTACTACTCAACTTTTAGTTTTATTAGTAATTTGATCTCTAATGACCTTTCGCTGCTACAAAGCCTAATCTTGCAGATTCATTCGAAAAGTAAATGAATGTGAATGCATGATTTAATGATTTAGACAATAAACTATATGGTTAATGAACCTTAATACATATGAAAATACAAGAGGTAGTTCCAAACTGGATGGGACCAAAGGCAGATGCATGCATTCACGGGCTAACAGTTTGATTCTTTGGAAGCAGAAAGAAGCAAAATATGTTTTGTTTGGGCATGATGGGTGGTGGTGCAGCTGCTGGGTCTACCTCATAAATCTAAACCCTCATTCTCTGTGTCCCACTCCCCAGGTATTAAGCAGATCTTCCCAGTTCCATCACCTGATGTTAGTGATAAGATTAGGCCCAATGTCTAACACTAAGGGTGCGTTTGGTTCACAGAATGTAAAATTATCAGTATGAATAAAAGATTACCAGAGAATAAGATTATTGTGAATGTTGTACTTTGTGTTTAGTTGGTTTAGCAGGAATGCAAGATTACCGTGTTTGGTTAAAGGAATAAAAGATTATTGAAATGTATATTTGACCAAATTGTCCTTATTATATATATTTTTTTAACAAGTTGAAAAATATTTATATATTTTCTTTAAAAAATTTAAATTCATAAAATTTATATATTTTTTTACAAAATTGAAAATATAAAAAGGTTTAATGAAAGGTAAAATTTTATTTTAACCCCTGAACTTTATATAAAATTTTAATTATATACTTTTTTGTAAATCTAAAATAGTTTAAGGATAAATTTGTAATTTAACCTTAGTAGAATTTTTATTATTTAATGACAGAATAATGATATTTTTGAAAGAAATTTTTTAAGGGCATTTTAGTCCAAAACGCTGGTAATCAAACAATACCTAATGAAAGGAGGTAATGACATTCCCAGTAATATACCCCAAAAAATCCACTATTGTAATGTAATATTACCGGGAATAACATTCCCGGCCAACCAAACGGGAGAATGTGAATTACATTCCCATGAGAATCTCACATTCCCCCAACCAAACAAACCCTAAACTCATGTGATTGCATTTTTGTTTATTACTTAAACACATTACTATTCACCAGTACTGTAGGTAACAAGGGCTAAGTCCGAATTTTTCTCGGGAAATTAATGTATTTAAAATTTTAAAATTTTAAAATTTTAAAAATATAATTTTATAATTATTTTAATTAATAAATTTATAGTTTTTTTAAATAAATTAAAATGGACCAAATCAAAACTTATCATTTCAATAATTGTTATTTTTTATTAAGCTAAAATAATTATAAGGTAATATTTGTTCTAAATACTATGAATCATTTAACAATGAACCTTAAACCTCTAGAAATAACAACGATTCATTTAACCACCGAAATAGATTAGTAAGTACTCATTTAAATAACTAACATTTTGATATCTACGACCTTCGCTCCCATATGATAGGCAAACGTAAATATATACACATATATATTAAAAACATTACAACTACTATCAATGCATTTAAATAATTATATTCATAACCGATTATTACAATCACAAATAAACTGATAATTAGAATGAACCAATAACAAAGAAAAAAAATACTAAAGTGTGATAAAATAAATAAAATTTGTGATTCAACAAAACAATATGAGTCTATATTTTACTCTCATATTTTTACTTTTATTTGATTTAGTTTTTTTTTACTACTACTACTGCAATTAATGTACAATCAAATTTAATAACTTTATTTAACTATAATATACAGAATTTATTATAAAATTATATAATAATGTAATTAAAATAGTAAAATTTACTTGAAAACTTAAAGGAAGAAACTGAGAAAAAAAGTCTTCCCCTCTGTATATTGCTCTAACCCAATTTTACAAATTTTAAGTGATAAATAAAAAAGTCCATAGGCTGATAGGCATCATGAGTCGTTCATGGGAAACCGTGACAGTCACAGAGATGTTCCATAGCCACTTCAAATTCAAATCCGACGCCTAACGGCCTTTTCACTTTTACTTTACTTTTTTATTACTTTGGTCCCTACCTTTACTTTTATTTCGAATACATAATTTCCCCTTAGAGTTGAATTCAATAATTTGAATTTTGATTTTTTTATTTAGTAAATAATGAAACGAGTTTTAAGTTAATTTCTTTTAAAAAATATAATATATGGTTTACATCTTTACCTAACGTCATAATTTTGTTTTGATTTGAATAGGCGGTCGTAATCTTGGCCATCTCCTTGGACTTGGATAGTCAACATGGAATGAGAAAGGATTGGCCCTGTAATTATGGCCTTTGGTCACCTCATTTTTTAAGCCGATCGATGTATCTAAATTATAATGTTTTTTTAGGTATAATGCCAAATTTAATTTTTAATATTTATTAAAATAGTTGTTTTAGATAAATGAGGTTGATTTAAGTAGTAAGGAGTTTAAGATCATTTAAACAAGTTTCGAGTTCGAGTCATTCTGTATGTAAAATATTCCTATTGAGATACTCACTATCGAAGTCAGGTATGCGACACGGGTCGATTCAGGTTAATCGGAAAAAGCCTTGAAAACCGAGATAACAAAAAATATTTTATTTTTACTTTTTGAAGTATTTTAGCTCTCAATATTTAATTTTTGTCATAAAATAAAATATTAAGACTAAAATACTCCAAAAAATTAAGATTAAAATAACTAATTTAATAAATATTGGAAGTTAATTTTGATATTACGGTTATTTTGTATAATGACTTTATTATCCTTAAACGTTATAATTTTTATCATTTTAAACTTTATCTCTTTATTTCTTAATCATCAAACTTTTAATATTTATCAAATTAATTAAAACTGACATCTTATATTTTAGTGGAAATAAATTTAATGACCAAACAAGAATTTTTAATTAAATAAATTTAATCATCATATAAGTTTTAATTAGTAAAATTATAATAAAAATTAATATATTTTTTAATTAAAATTTAGATGAATATTTACTATATACAAATTTGTACATCCTTACATCTCATTAATTTTTACGTACAATATTTTCGTTCACCCATCATCCTATAGGTGTTGAAAATCTAATAATTTCAATGTTATTTTATTTTTAGAATTACAAATAAATTTGTTGACAGTTCTACGGCATGGGAATTAACAAAAGTGGACAGTAAGGGGTCAAAGAAATTCTAGGCCAATAACCATCGAATCCCCATCTTTACTTTAAGGCTTGAGAGTGAAAAAAAGGGCAAGGCCCAACCCCCAATAACAAGAAAGTGTAATTTGAACAAAACCAAAAGTGCATTATTATTATTATTTATCTTAATATAAAAATAAGTATTTATATACTTAAATTATTTTTCAGTTAATTTAAATATTTAACATAATAAATCTTATTAATTTAAGTATTTTGATCGTAACAGCCGTAAAAAATCTATTATATACCACATGTTATATTTATAAGATTTTATATTTTTTATTTAAAATAAAAATTTAAATATGTATTTTAAAAAAACCAAATCTTTCTTAAATCTAAAAAACCCTAAAATATTAAAAAGTTTAATTTTAAGATCTAAACATTAGCCGTCGACAAACAACTACTCAAATCATCATGGTCCATCCAGTGACCAGCAGTAAGAAAGTTGCTAGTGATTGCGATGGTAACCGACAATGAAAGGGTGATTGGTCAACGACGACATCGACGATAACTGTGGTGACGATGGTGTTAGTGATAGATGGGGATTTTTGTTTTTCTAAATGTTTTTTAAATATATTTTTATCTTTTTTTAAAATAAAATTTTAAAAATTATATAAATGTGACATGTATTGATTTATAAATTTTTTTAATATCCGTTATGATTAGAATATTTAAATAATAATATTATAATATTTGACATTTAAATAGATCAAAAATAATTTAGACACCTAAAAGAAAGAGAATATAGTATAAATGATTATTTTTATATTAAATCTTATTATTATATTGTTCAAGTGGTCCCTTCCAAGAAGCCTCCTTTTGTTTTCTTCCTATGCGCTCTAGCACTTTATTATATTTATTTTTTCTAAAAAAATAAATATTGTATGTATATGAATTATGGAATTTACGTTTGTTAAAGAGTCGTAATCTTTTACATAAAAAAGGGGAAACGATGGCGTGTACTGTGTGTAGCATACAATTATATATGGTATATGGGTCTACAAATACATTGAAATTAAAGGGAAAGGAAAAAAACAAAAACACAAAGTGGAGGTGACATCAAACACTCCATTCAACAGCAAAGGGCTGGTTTAAGACCTTTGAGAGTGGTAGACATCTTTGCAGATTTGGCAGAGTATTGTCCCCACTCTCACTCTCTCTCTCCCTTTCTCTTACTCTTTCCCCATTCTATCTGTTTTTTTTCAGTATAGGAAAGGTTGAAGCTTGAAGAAGAAAGAGGGCAATGGGGGCAGGATCAACGACTTCTTCTAAGCTCAGAAAAGTTGCCAAGAAAACGTTAGTCGCTGCATGTGGTTCCTTCTCCAGGAATACCCCTCTTCCTCCCCCACCTGTAAGACCCTTCACCTTCCTTTTAACTTCCATGGTTTTAGACTATGAGGGTCAAGTTTGACTTTTTTAAGATCCTTTTTAGCAAGTAATGTGGCAGATTGGTTCAATCTTTACACTTTGTACTGCTAATTATAATTTCTGAGAAAAAAAATTTACGTCTGATGTTGTGAATTTTAAGTTTTCTCATTTGCTGCAACATTTTCAAATGCTTTACTTTTTGGTTATGAGATGGATGACAGCTCTGATCTTTATGTCAATGTTGATGGTCATATGCAGATGTCAGTGTCACCATTGAAGCCAAAGAGTAAGTTGGAACCGGAATCAGCTGGAATTGAAGCAGAATTCACCACCAACCATAAGGATGTTACATCTAGGGTAACCCCATTCAACCATTCCTTTTGTTTTATCCTTTTGCTTTTGGATAAGCTAAAAACACCCAATTTTCCTTTTCTTTTTCATTCTTGTATGTGGGAAATTACATATTCTGCTAGGAGAATAAATAGCAGTTGAGAGACTAGGAAGGCAGTGCTTAGCTTTCAAATCCCACTGTCAGCAACCATTTACCCTCTCCCCAGGTTGGGAACTATTTTTTTTCCAAAAGGAAATAGTTGTGAATTTACAGCTCAAAGGTTAGGCATTTGTTATGTTAATTTCCTAAAGTAGAAAAAAAGAGAGAGTAATAGACACTAATGGAGTCCGATGCCATATCTCGTCTTATCATTGACAAGGGAATATATGAGAGATCTCTTGTTTAGAGTAAGTTATTCAATTCTTTTGAGTTTCCTTTTTCTAATAGGTTCATGGTCTGGACATTTGCATGCGGTGATAATCCCTATAATGTAGAAACGTTTGAGTTCCTAAACATAAGTGGTTGTGATTTCAGTCCCAGATATCTGTATCTTCCAACAAATTTGAAAAACCTCAGAACACATTATAATACTTACATTTTGATCATAAATGTTTGCTGAAAATTGACCCATGAGGTTTACTTATACCTTTATTATGATATTATGTAGTAATTTTAACTTTGGTAACAAAAGAAACTTATGTTCTCTATCCATGTTGACATGTGAAATGGATTCTTGAGAATGATAGCAATGTTTGTTCATTTTAGTTCTTGACCCGTCATCATAGATTTTCTTACACAACTGTTTGTGCATTGCTGCAGAACATATGTGCAATATGTTTGGAGGCTCTGAGTTACAGTTCTGGCAGCAGCCCAGGGCAGGCTATATTTACAGCCCAGTGTTCTCATGCATTCCACTTTTCCTGCATATCCTCCAACGTTCGCCATGGTAGCATCACCTGCCCCATTTGCCGTGCTCATTGGACCCAGTTGCCACGCCACGTAAACCCACCTGCATGCTCACTCTCTTGCAACCAAAATGACCCTGTTTTTCGTATCCTGGATGATTCCATTGCCACTTTCCGGGTTCATAGACGCTCCTTCCTTCGATCAGCAAGCTATGATGATGATGACCCTATTGAGCCTGTTGACACACAAAATCATCCCCGTATTGATTTAGCTCTGATCCCCCTCCAACCAACAGTTTTGACTCACCCCTGCTACTTTCGTCATCAACCCAGTTCACATTCATCTTTGCAGATGCAGGGAATTGGACACATCTCAAACCACCATCATCATCACTTCAGCAGCTCTTCCTCGTCAACTTTACAGTTGCAACCACCAAGTGGACAAATACCTTGCAACATGTGCTCCTCCCCAAATTGCAGACCGGCTTATCTCAGCATAAAATTTGCACATCCACAAGCTATGGACATGGTATTGTTTGCAAGTCCCAATGGTCCGCACTTGAGGCTTTTAAAACAATCCATGGCATTAGTGGTATTCTCTCTCCGACCGATCAATCGTTTGGCCATTGTGACATACTCATCTGCTTCAGCACGTGTCTTCCCTCTCCGGCGCATGACATCCTATGGAAAGAGAACAGCCTTACAAGTTATAGATCGTCTTTTCTACATGGGTCAAGCTGATCCGGTTGAAGGGCTCAAGAAAGGTATAAAGATACTTGAAGATCGTGCACATAAGAATCCACAGTCGTGCATCTTGCATTTGTCTGATAGTCCAACAAGATCATACCACGCCATGAACCTGCAATTTCCTATTCCAATACATCGGTTTCATGTGGGATTCGGTTTTGGCACCTCTAATGGTTTTGTGATGCATGAATTTGAAGAGTTTCTAACACAATTATTGGGAGGTGTAGTTAGAGAAGTTCAATTGAGAATCGGGGAGGAAGGAAGGATCATTAGGCTCGGGGATCTGCGAGGCGGTGAAGAGAGAAGGATTTTGATGGACTTGGGCGAGTGCCTACATGTTTGTGTAGGGTATAGTTACATCGAGGGAGGAAGCGACGAATGTATCAAAACAGGTGAAACTATGGTGAGTGTAGAGGATAAGAGGGAAACAGATGATAGCAGCAGAGGCAGTGGTATCAGCATTGTCGGGGGAAGGACCAGCAGTGTTGAGAACTGGGATTACCATGATCCTTACATGGCTAGAAGATGGGCTAAGCATTTGCATGGATACAGATTCTGAATACTAATCATGCTGCCAAAATCCTTTTGTAGATATGCTCACGTTTCATTCATTTCCGCATGGATTTTGGTCATTCAATCCAATGACTTATCCTCAGCTTCAGAGATCTTAAATATGCAGGCTGTTTTGAAAATTCTTAGATTTATTTACTCATTGGTTGGGATCAAGGCTTTGTTAATTGTCCTGTCGGTTGGGATTGGAGAAATCACATCACTAGAATATTGTGAAGGGTAGTTTGGAACTATAGATTTATTTATTTTCTTGAAATATTATAAAATGATATTTTTTTGGTATTATTAATTAAAATATCCATTATGAAAAGTATTTTCTTAACAAGTTGCGCAATTATGTTTTGCAGAATTACATGAAAACCCTTATAAAAATGAAGGAGTGTTTCACATACGCAAGCACACTTAATTTGATTACAATTGCAATACAAATTATGTTTCCAAAAATGAAATCATTCTTATAATTTAAATTAATCTGAATTATTTTTGAAAATAAAAGGTTATTATATATATATATTAACATAAAAATATCTTCTTCCTTTTTTCATATGAAGCCTATTATTTTATATATAGAAGACAACGAAAATTATTAAGTACGGAAATAGAAAGTTGAAAAATGGATAAATCGAACTGTGAGGGGCGTGGGAGCAACAGCAAGAACCCAGCAGCAGCGGTCTGATCATTTGTGGTTCAATTCCTTTGTTTTGACTGTTCCTCTTACAGCTGTTCATCACTGGGCAGAGTGCAGCAGGAGTGGAGGAGAAGTAGTTTCTTCTGGGTGGATGTGAGATTTGTTGGAGTAAAAAAAGAAGGAATAGAATGGATATGTTCCATCCGAGTCCAAGGCTCCCACCACATGAAGAAATGCTTAACAATCTCAATCACAGCGGCGTAGGAGAGCCTTACCTGGTCTTGACTTCCGACCCCAAGCCTCGTCTCCGTTGGACTACTGATCTCCATGACCGATTTGTCGATGCCGTCACTCAACTTGGCGGCCCCAATAGTAAGATATCGATTTCTTCTTTCAATTTGTTTACTATTTTCTTTCTGGGTTCTTGTTCGTCGCCTCTAATTTTACATTTTCACCATTTTCTTTGCTGCTTTATGCAACCTTGAGAGATAAACATTTGTGGTTGTGCTACAAGACTAGATGTATTAGGTGGCTGCCTATTAACTGGCCTGGGAGATGTGATTATCTGCTGTAGTTTACTTTCTCTCAGGCTTGTAGGCGAATTGACTGGTTGAATTTGCTGAAACAAAGTAAAAAATATTACTTTGTTGAAATAAACTTGATTTGAGCTAACACTTGGCATTGCACAACTTATTCTAGTTTGAGATCCAAGTTCCCTGTAGTATGTGTTGGCAAAACTAGGGAGGATAGAGTAGAAATTAGTATATACTACTGTAAATTGGGGTATATTTTATAGAGGTTAAGTTAGTAGAATTTTCTTAATGGTGGTTCGGTCGTCTATAAGCAGATTGAGGAATTCATCTATTAGAAGGATGGAGCACATTGATATTGCACAGGGTAAAAAAAAGACATGGGTGGAGGTGATAACAAATGATATGGAGTTATTCAAACTTGAAGAGGGGAATATAGTTGCTAGGAACAGTTGAAAAACAAGGATTCATGTATGTGACTCAATGTAAATTTTTGTCTTGATTTTATACCCAACCTTAAATGTATTAGAATTAGAGCTTATTAATTGGGTTTGGTGTGATGTTTTGGTCTAACCTTAAGCTTATGAATTATAAGTTGTGCACCATTTCTTTCAAGGTTGCGAATTAACACAATAATTATTAGAATAATGATCACAATAAGTTTTCCAATTTAGCAGCCAATCTGTTAGTCATCATACAACTATTCCAAAGCAAGATAGTTCATCTAATGGTTGTCGGTGTATTGCTTGCCAACATTGGTATATTTAGTTCATCTAATGGTTGTCGGTGTATTGCTTGCCAACATTGGTATATTTCCCCTGAAACCGAGAGGTCTTTTTTTTGTATCTTAATAGGCTTTCTATGTGCCAATACCAGTCAGTGTGTGGAGTGTCAATGAAGATATGTTCCTCTTCATGAATACAGAACATAGAGAAGGAACACATGTTGCTCTTTATCGATAAAAATATTTGTTTGAGAAGAATAAATGCCAGGAAATGGTCTCTAATTGGGCTCACACTGAAGCATAAAATTGGGAAACTAATAGGAACACAGGCAGAATTAAGGCTACAACAGGTAACATGTCTTTTGTTTAGCTGCTAGAAAATCGTTTCTTAATTTTCTGTTGGCATCATACAGAATCTGAATGAACAGTCAAGGATAAAATACTTGATTTGTCTTACATTTAAAAAGATTAAGAAAATCTAAATGTTGTGCTTGTTTATGTAGCAGGCTTACCTTCTGTGTGTTTAATTTTCTTTATTGTTTCAGTGATTCAAATTCCGATCTCCTATCTTTTATCTGAATAAGGCTGTGGCTTTTCTCTCTTTGTTTTTTTGTTTGTTTTGTTCTCTCAAATCAGATGTCAATAAATGTCATCCAGCATTTATGCTTGTTAGTCTAATGTATAATGTATGTTGTCATATTACTTACATTCATGCATTATCTTGTTGGAATGTTCCATGCTTAACCATGTGATGTACTGTTTGCTCTTCTTGAGTATCTGGTTTGGCCTATGTTTTTATGTTTAAGTCTTTTTTTTTTGGCTAATCATACTTGTAATGAATTCAGTATTTTATATGATCTGATTATGCATAACTTCTGCAGAAGCTACACCAAAGGCTATCATGCGGACAATGAATGTGAAAGGATTAACTCTTTTTCATTTAAAGAGTCGCCTCCAGGTTTCTTCTTTCTTTTCAATCTTTACCTTGTCAAAAGAATTACAAACTTGTGGCTTTCTATTAAAATGATTCTCATATGGACATGTTATGCTGTCGAATGTTCACTGTTGTACAGAAATACAGGTTAGGTAAGCAATCAGGGAAGGATATGAGTGAGGGACCAAAAGATGGTTGGTTCTGCTCCAAGTCTTTTTCTTTCTTAGTATTTACTTTCGAGGCTACTGTAAATGAATTTAGCTATCTTGAATCTTAATTTTAAGTTTCTTTCACCAAAATGATTTATTTTCCTGTCCATCTTTTCAGATTTACGAACTAAGTTTTTTTGGTGATTGGCTTGAATTGGATGGATGTGTATTTCGGGTTTTAATTTATAAAGTGACAAGCATTTAAAACTTCAGACTGAATTCTCTTTTCTTCATTTTCATGAAGGGATGTCAGCTTCATATCTTTTAGAAAGCCCTGGAACCAATAACTATACCATTAACTTGCCAACTTCTGACATGAACGAGTGAGAATTTTCCTCTCTTGTTTGAAACTATGGTTTCGTTGCTAGGATTTCAAATCTTAATCTACTTGATGTAAATGAGTTTTACGTGCAGGGGTTATGAGGTGAGGGAGGCATTAAGGGCACAGATGGAAGTACAGAGTAAATTACATTTGCAAGTTGAGGTAATCTTTTTCTTCCTTTTGTAGTTATTTCCTTGTTATGAATGTAGCTATGAAGTAACTAAAAGTGTTGCAGGGCATATTGAATGTTTCTGGGGTCTTGTGCAATTCCATAGTTTCTCTGATCCGGAGAAACTTGTTATGAGGCTTATATAATTGATTGATTGTAGGAAAACCCTACTCAATATGTTTGATAGAACCCTCCAGATCAGAGTGTGAAGACCATCATCAAGCTGGCTAATGTTATTATGTGTCCTATATAGGCTGAAAAACACTTGCAGATTCGCCAGGATGCTGAACGAAAATATATGGCCATGCTTGAGAAAGCTTGTAAGATGCTTGCTGATCATTTTATCGGAAGTGTTGAAGTTATCAAAACAGATAACCTGGTCGTTGGTAATAAGATGCTGAGAAATTATTCAGTGGATCCACTTGGATTTTGCTCTGCCCAATCTGCTGAGGCCGTGAATGCATGTGGCCAAGAAGAAGAAATGCCAACCGGTCTGCTTTCTCAGAGGGCTGATGGTTCTACCGAAAGCTGCCTTACTTCACAGGAGAGTCCAGGAGGATTGACAATGGAAGGATCTCCTGTTGGAGGGAAGAAAAAGATGCTTAACTTGGAGGGAACAGCAGGATCTGTGATTTGGAGTGATGCCACCAGGGTTAATCCCCAAGGGCTAACTGGATATGGAATGCAGAGATGTAAAATGAGTGCTACTCTTTTGCTTGCCCAAGTTATTACATTATCAAGTGCAAATGTGGTGTCCTATTGGTGTCCACTGTCCAGTAGTCGTCTCAAAATTGTAAATCCAAGTTGCTTATGTTGCCTTTAGGTATCAAACATTTAGTCGGTCTCTTAAACATATTGACTTGTGTTGATTTGATCAGAAATCGATGTGATCTCTGAACCCCAAACTCTAAATGCAGTTGTGTATTCTTAGTTTTCGATCTTAACTTGTGATGTTGCATGCATCGAAAGTTATGTTCCAATGGAGGTTTGTAGGATATATGGAATTTTGGTTTTGCAGTGAAGTTAAGGCTGCAAAGCATGCTAGTTCCCCAAATTATAGTGTGAAGTCGAAGACCTGTCGAGGCCACAAGTTGCAGTTCCGAAGAGTAGAAAGCTCTGTAAAAGCTAATTGGAGAGTTTCCGGGAGTTTTGGAGATGAAAGGGCATGATTTAGAGGAGGTTCAACTCGAGCCTTGACTCGAATGTGATTTTTTCAAAGTCAAATTTGAGTAATTTGTGTGAATAGAAAGAGTATGCTATATTAGGACTGTTTATTTTCTGGGTAAACTAAGTTTTTGGTCGTTCAACTTCGTTTGTATTTTTATTTTCATCTCTCAACTTTAAATTTATTATTAAACTTTCGAACTTTGTTCATTTGACTGTTAAGTCCTTATGTTGTTTAATTTTTTGTGCTGAATTTATGTGAAAACCTCTTGAAACTTTTTTCTTAAATCTAGATTTTCAAATAAGTTCATCGGTGATTGAGTATTTTTTTTTTCAAATTTGAATTGTGAGACGAAAGATAATATATACCGATTCTATGTTAATTAGATGGTTGAGATTATAAATTGGATCAAGAGAATGTTGAAGTTTTGATTTGAGTTTTATTAATTTTGAGAGAGAAAAAATGAGAAGAAGAAAAAAGAATATTTTGATACCAATTGTGTCGTAAATGATGAGTAATGGTGGCCAATCGATAGTGGAGAAAGATCTCTATTAAGGGGAAGAAGGTTAAAATTTTGAAAATTTATATAATATTTGATGATGAATGTTAATATTTAATGATTGAAAGACTAAAATGAATTAGTTGTGTAAGTTTAATAGTAAAAATGATTTTTATAAAAATTAAGTGACTAAAATAGAAATACATACAAAATTGAGTAGTTAAAATTATGATTAATCTTTTTTTTAATTATTCATGTTGGAAATATTTTAATAGGATGTGATCAGATTTTTCATAGACTTATTTTTTTTATTTCAAAAAAGAAAATCATTAAAGTGACTAAGCAAGTAAGCAAGGCGGGGGCGGAAATGGAAAGGAAGTTTAAAATAAAAAATGAGATAATAATTAATCAACGTAACCATCAAGAGGAGAAAAGACAGAAATTGCCGGAATCATTGAAGAATGGACGGAATATAACTAGGTAGATTCCGTGAATGGCCGGTCGCTACATGCCTATCTCCAATTTCATTATCATCAACAAATATTATATATTTATAAAAATCTAGAATTATGTATTTTTTATAAATATAAAATAATAAAAAATTTGAAAATAAATGTTATATATCTCGTAACCTGGAATGACAGAATGGCAATAGGCATCGCAACAATGAAGTAAAAAAAATACATTATTTGTTTTAATTTTGAAGACTGCTGTATGAACCGTTTCATTTCCCCTTTGGAGAAAAAGAAGAAGAAAAAAAGCATAAATAATAGGCGACTGCGCTGCGTCTTTGGGCTTTCTCTTCGGCTTTGGATTTTGGGGTCCAAAAATTGGTAACTCTGCTTTCGCTGAAATATTTAAATTATAGTTGAAGTCATCGTGAAAACGAAGTTATGGTGGGATGCTCGTAGATCTGCTTCTGGTATGCTTTCATCTTTTGGGTCTTTGCAAACTTTAGCTTCTTCATCCTCACCTCCAGCTTTCGTTTTCACTCTCTTTTCTTTTTCGATTTCGGGGTTAAATGAATGGAGTAGAATTAGGAATTATGTTTGGTTAGCCTGTAATCTGGTCATGATTTAGGGTTTTAAATTATAGAGGATTGCATCGCACCCTTTTAGGACTTCGACAACCATCTTCTCTTTTCTGACCTAAGAAAAAAAATTCCTATTAATTCTTCACCCCTTTTGAATTGTATTGTATCTTTTCATATTTCAAGTATACAATAACAATCAGCTGGACGTCACTTCAATTTTCTGTTTGTACAAACTTAAGCACTCCTGTTTTTGTGTATGCCTCATTTTTATTTCTAATTCCCATTTCACTGGTAGGGACGTGGGACAGGGACAGTGGAGACATAATGAAGAAATTATATTTCTTATTCAATCAGTATGCATATCTTAGGGCTTTTATAAGACATAAAGAATCGTGAACTAGAAACTAGAAAACAATCAACACATAATATTTCTTATTGTAATTAGGGAACAAATCAGGAGCAAGATAAAGCTAATTTCCTCCAACAATTCAGCAGTGCTTTCCAGCACATCATTTTTAGAAGCAGAAATAATACACATGTGAAAGACTTAAGTAGTCAATGTATGTGCCTAATATTTACTTTTAGGGTTCATCTATATTTGACATCTTTTACTTCCTAATTTCTTTGAGATCTAGCTTAAAACACTTTTAGATGGTTTATGGGTTATATTACATATACTTAAGATTAGGGTTTAGGATGCAGTGTTCTCTATTGCATCAAGACAAACAAAAACGGGGAATTATATGCGATGCTAGTGTATATAATAGGAAAATTCAGTTATGAAAATTGTTTACGGTTCTTCCCTTACTCTGTTATTAGAAAGTTGTGACTTTTCACGGCTTGCTCTAGTTATTCCTTTAGGTTTACAACTGATTCCTGTCATGGTCTTCATCGATCATCATTATGAATTTTTTCAATTTCATTCATTATCTTATGAATAATGATAATAAAGGTTTCACTAGCAATTACTATTAAGGTGATATCATGGAAAAATTTCCATGTTAACTGCAAAAGTTGACAGATAGTTTTATGGCACTGAATGCATTTAATGATGATATTTATTAAGTTAGTAACCTTGGAAAGTGTCATTAGAGTGCTCTTGAGGAAAACACTGAAATAGCAAAAAATAGGAAACACTATGGGGCAGGTCGGCTAATGGTGTTAATAATCCTTTCATTCATGCTTTCCTCGCCCTTCATCTTTCTTTTTTGTGCTACAGTAAAAATTGCATCCATTATTTGTCTGGGTCTTTCCTAGTATGGAATCTATTAGTGCCGTGCATTTATTACACTCTGTATGAATCGTTTTACTCCCCTTCATTTGTAGATGAACTGCAAATGTATCAGCCAAAGAATGTTCCAGGTTCAAGTTTAGTTCATAGCAACTCATTAGTTCATGGTCAACATTTAGATTGTGGTGCTAGCTCAATGGACCCTGTAAGTGGAGGAAGCAGCCTCGCCAACAACCCTAATCTTGCATCAAAGCAACGATTACGCTGGACACATGAGCTTCATGACCGTTTTGTTGATGCTGTAGCTCAACTTGGTGGGCCAGATAGTGAGTCTTATCGATGGTCTCCCTTGCTATTAATTAATTCTTATCCTGAATTTGTATGTGCTTGCAATTGGCTAGATTGGCCATTAAATTGAAAAAAAAAAGTGCAAAAGGTTGGAAATTATGCTGCCTATATTTTGGTGCAAGATTGAAGTAGTAAGAACTTTTTAGAAAGAAGGAAAACCAATTTGCTAAGCTCGTGGAAACATAAATGGTTAAAAGGGGTTTCATAACTTGAGCATCTCTCTTTCATCTAGTCTCTTGCTTGTCTAGAATATTCTATAAAATAATTTCTTGTTAAGTTGCGAGAAACCTTCAGGTACCATGGTGGCTTTAATTTTTATATCGACTTGTTTATGTTTATGCAGAAATTTTAATTACCATAAAATTTTCCCTGTTTATATATGGTAAAAGTCTATAATGGTGAACGGGCTTCTTTCTTTTTACCCTCCCAGGAGCTACACCAAAAGGAGTTCTTAGGGTCATGGGTGTGCAGGGTTTGACAATATACCATGTCAAAAGTCATTTACAGGTATAATTCTTTTCTCAACCTAATGAAGGACGATATTTATTTATGTACATGGGTTCAGAGTTGCCCCAGGAGTGAGGTTTTTGTTGAATGGTTCATTTATTATGTATGGCTTTTGTTGACCTTACTTTTCTGATCCATCCAGAAGTATCGACTTGCTAAATATCTCCCTGATTCTGCTTCTGATGGTAGGTTTATAACCTATTTCTTTTATTTCTTTTTATTTTTAATGTAGATGTAAACTAATGTTGTTTAAATTGTTGTCGCCGTTAAGTTTATTCTTCGTACTTAATTATAACTTGAGTTATTTTGTACAAAACCTTTCTTCTTGATATTGTTTGTTTATTCTATTTGTGAATGAAGGTAAAATGCCTGACAAAAAAGAAACTGGGGATATGCTTTCCAATTTGGATGGTTCATCGTGAGTGAAGCTGTAGCGTTTTTGGTTTGATTTTTGTTTTGAAAATATGCCTTTTCATATATATTCATCTATTGTAGTTTTGGAGTTGGGTATGCAAAGCATTCCCATCTAAATATGCAGTGCAGGTATTTAGTTAGATATTGGCTGTCAGCCTGGTACCTCAATTCTTGTTTGTTTTAAAGAGTTTAAGTAGGGGACAGGTTACATGTTATCACCACTTGTTACTATTACTTGTGTCAAGAATCAATATGGATATTTCAATTATTTCCTTTTTTGTCCCACAATGTATAAAAACTCAGTATTGTACATCTGAGGAAGGATTGTGTATGAAAATATCTTTTCATCTTTACATAGGATGATCAACATGAGTTGCATAGAGTTGAAGGTTTTTTCTTTTTTTTCCTGATTGCAGGGGTATGCAAATTACTGAAGCTCTTAAGTTGCAAATGGAGGTGCAGAAGCGCTTGCATGAACAATTGGAGGCATGTATTCTCAATCCAAATTTAATATTATTTTGGTTATTATGTTTATTGGGCTCTACTTGCTCTTCGGAGTTTCATGGTGTTGAGTGTCAGCTACATTCAGATAATAATTTTCTCCGTATTCATTATAAACCTGTAGCAATTTGCTAAATTTCTGTGGACATATTAGACACATGCTTTAAGTTTTAAGTGTTTCATTTGTTTTCTCAAATCACAAATTTCATACCTCTGATATACAATAGGTGCAGAGACAGCTACAGTTACGGATAGAGGCTCAAGGAAAGTATTTAAAGAAGATTATTGAAGAGCAGCGTCTTAGTGGAGTCCTTGGAGATGCACCTGGCTCAGGAGCTTCAATACCAGTGTTGGGTGAAAGTGGCCTGGAATCTGACAAGAAGACCGACCCTGCAACTCCGGCCCCAACTTCAGAATCCCCTTTGCAGGATAAGGTTGCCAAAGGAGGAGCTTCTGTTAAGAGCCACTCTGTTGACGAGTCTTTCTCATCTCATCATGAGCCTTCGACCCCAGATTCTGGTTGCCATGTGGGTTCCCCAGCAGGGAGTCCTAAGGGAGAGAGGTTGAAGAAGAAGCAACGGGTGAGCATGACTGCAGAATATGCTAAATCAGAGATTGTACTTCCCCATCAGATACTGGATTCGAGCTTAAATGCCTCCTACCAACAAACACAGTCAGTTTTCATGGGAGATCAATTTGATCCTTCATCTGGGATATCAATGAGAAATGACAATCAATCCGGGTAGGCTTCAGGAACGGAGCTGTAGTTTATGTGCTACATGGTAAATGTTATCAGTTTCATTTTGGCCATGTATTGCCAGATGAGATTACTTATTAGGTCAAAAAGGAAAACTTCTTTATGTCTGTTGCATGAGATAATTAGACGGAAGCAAATCGGTCCCTTTGTCCTAATATATCTAGCTTCCATATAGTGTACTGGAATTAATTAGAATAGAAATGAGAATTCACAGTGAACAGTGGTGGAAATTTGGCAGTGCCATGTCTATCAGTATCTGATACTGTGATTGTTGTGTATTCTTGGTTGAAGGCCTTAGGACTTTGCTGGCTTTAATTGGTTATTGTGAATTACCACTATTACTGTTGCTGGGTCAAATATTACATTTCTATGGTATAAGTTATTTGATATTCTTTTAAAATTTAAAGATTATTTTGACTCTATTGATTCAAATTTAGACATATTCTTATTATTGATGTAATATTATAATTTTAGATTAGATTTAAATTCTTATATAAAAGTTTAATAGAAAATTTTAAATAGAAGTTAAATGCACAGATCATATCGCTTAGTAAAGAAAATAATTTTATTATTTGATAAGTAAAATTATTAGATTTCTAAAATTATAAATTTCATATTTTAATATTAAAAATTAATTATAAAATAATTTGATGAATTAATTATGACGTGTTGAAACTATAAATTTAATATATTTTACGATAATCAATTGAAACTAAAAATGAATTATAAAATAATTTAATAAATTAAACATAATATTTTCTTGTAAAAGATGATATAATGTCACTGTCAGTACGATGTTGTTCAAACTTCCGAGGGATTTCTTGTAAAAGGATTACGGAATTAAAGTGTAAATTGCTTTCAAAAAACACAATGTTTTTTTTTTCGATTGAAAGAGGAACATAAATTACATTACGCTCGTAAATACGGGGACCTTGTATATTCCTTTTGAAAAGATTCTGACTAGCCAAAGGAGCAATTGATTTCATCCTACTAAATATATAAACTAAAAAATATATTTTCGTAAAATATTTTACCAACAAACACGCTAATTATAAGTTTTAATTATTAAATTAATAAAATTTTGATGATTATATGTTTTTCCTCCTACGATCAAATCTCTTTTTATTTTTATTTATCCATTTCATTTTAGGCGTTTAAAATTTGATTTCATCCGCAAGATACGGCACTGCCATCAAATCGAAGTCGTAAAAATAAAGCAAGTCCACCAATCGACCACAATTCGCAGAAACTAAAAACTCCCGACGCCATGTCCAGCTCCAATCCTAACAAGCTCATCTCCAAAGCCGACAAGCTGTAAGCCTCCTATCTTTCTCTCTACAAAGCTCTTACTTGTATGCCTATTCGGAGATTGTGTTGTAATTTAGCTTAAGGTCCTTAGATTTGAACTTTTCGATTTTCCTTTTAGTTTTTGATATGCGATCTCCTCACCTGTAGTGTTAAAGGATCAAATTGATTTGATGTAGATAAGGGAAAATTTGGAAAACTGAATTAATCAGCATCACTCAACTTGACTTGATCAATATTTCCTACTGTTTTGCTCTGTTTATATTTGTAGAACAAAGTTAAGTCTTACGAGGTGGAGTGCTGACTGGAAAAGTGCTACTCTTTTATACGAACAAGCTGGTATGCTATCTACTTATTATTCAACCTCCAAGATTTTTATCTAAAAATATTCAGTCCATATTTTAATGAAATTTGTACGAAACAATGTATTATGTAAATTGTTTCTGCCATTTTTGGAATGGGTCAGATCTGGTGGCAGACCTGGTACTCTCGGGTTCTGCAAGATGAAAATGAACTAAGAGGCGCCGGAGCTTGAGCTCCGTGACGCTCTCCAATGCTCAAGTCAGTCAAGGATCCATGGTTATGGAGATTGTAGAAAATATTAGCTTAGTAGAGAAGACGAAGAAGATAGAGGCTAGGGTATCCAAAAGAAAAAGATGACACACCCTTTTTAGGGTTTTAGTACCTTTCATTTGTGCTTGGCCTTGGACTTGTGTGTTACTGGGCCTTTTACTTGCTAATTAGTTGGGCAGGTCATGACATTTATGCTATGGTTATGATGGCATTTTCATTTTGCTCATGATGTATGTAGCAAATGGATTTCGAGTTTCAAGAGATTATGAGAAAGCAAAGTTGGCATTTGAGAAAGCTTCCAAAGGACAAGAGATGCTATCTTCGTATCCTTAATCACTTTCTTTCACTTTTTTATTATCCATTTTGTATGCTGTGCTTACTTCTTCATATCTAGTGTGTATATACTTACAGACTTCAACTTGTAGATCTTAAGTTTGAATCTTGATGTATCAAAAAAAAATAATAAATAAGTTTGAATCTTGAGACAGGGATGGGAAAATAGTGGGGTTCTGTTCTCTTTTGTATTGAAAGCCATACTGAATCTACATATGTACCAAAAAAGAAAAGGCAAATATATCTCCATTGTTGCATCCTTTATAAGCAAATCAGTCCCTGGGATGCTGCTAAACATATGGAGTCTGCTGCTGCTTTAGCGAAGGAACTACGTAACTGGACTGAGGTCATTGACTTTTATAGAAGGGCATCTGAGCAATATATGCAGTGTGACAGACCCCAGCCTGCTTCTGATTCACTTGCCAAGGCTGCCCGGTACAGACATTGTTTAAACTTTATGTTGTCAGAATTCCGATTTTACATCATTTCAACTATACTAATCTCCAGTTCAGATTTTTCAATTACGGCTAGTACTTTAGATTGAACTTAACAGAAGTTTTCCATCAAAGATGAACTTGCTCCATTAAGTTTTTTTTTTTTGCTTGATCTTATATGGTCGACAGAAGTCAATTTCTATGAATCATAAAGGAGAAAAAAAGTGAAATCAATTTCTTAAAGCTTTTCAATGCCATTATAGTTTCTTTTTAGTTCTGCATTATCAATCTGCAAATATGCTATTTTATTTGAATTGGCTGTCAAACATTATAATTTACATTATGCAAGAAAATATAATGAAAAACTCTAATATCTTGATATTTTAATGAAATTTGAAGAAGAGCCCAGATGTTGTGGATGTGGAATTTTCTGAATTTTCAAATCCAAAGATTCCGGTTTCACTCATTAATTTTTCCACTTCTAAGTTTGTATGACCTGGTCTTTATTGCTAGGATGCGGAGAGGAAATGGATATATGTGTTTATGGATTTATTATTAACTTAAAGAAGATCAATTCACTATATCAATATGCATTCAATTGAATATTCATGCAGGTTGTCCTGGTTTTTGTTTGTATTGTACTTGTATTTTTCTTAGTGCTTTTCTGCATAATATTTGTCAATATACTGGTGTAATCTATAATCAATTCAAGAAACCTTTAAAAGAAAAAAACAAAATTCTCTTTGTTTTGCATGCAATAATCTAGTTACTTACAACATCACCAACTGTTTCACAACTGCAATTTCCTTTTTAATCTCTTAGTACATGTTCTTGCAGTGCTTTGGAGGATGCTTTGCCTGATGATGCAGTTCAACTCTATACTGATGCTTGTGTTATTCTCGAAGATGATGGAAAGGAACAAATGGCCTTTGATCTGTATCGTGCTGCCGCTAGTATTTATGTAAAACTTGAGAAGTAAGGATTTTCTTATTTATCTGTTGAGATATAACATATAAATGCTCATTCTTAGGATTGCGAAATGAAAGTTATACACCCTTGTACATTATATGGTGTAATACATTCTTAAAATTGGAATACTTTTGCCTTTTCTTAAAATAAAAGGAAAGAAAAGATAAAACTGGGAAATAGTTTTTGTTTTACTAGCATATGATCTTTAATTCGTAGTTAAATAAAACCCTCATGTTGCTAAAGGATTTCAAACTCATTTAAGTGTCTTTTTCCTTATGTCTGGAACTATGGAGTTTGGGTTAGTAGACTAGAGATGTGAAATGTGATTCTTTTTTCAAGCCAATTTTTGTCTTTTTTTAATTGCACGTGATCTATTCATTGTTAAATAAAAACCTCATTTTGCTAAAGGATTTCAAATGCATTTATGTGTCTTTTTTCCTTTATGTCTGGAACTATGGAGTTTGGGTTGAGTAGAGTGGAGCATGCGAATTGTGATTCTTTTTTAAGCCAATTTTCATCTTTGTTTAATTGCACATTCAGTACTTTTTTCTTCTGTTTGTCAAGCAACATGTTAACTGCCGACAGCATCCACTTATCCATGACCGGATGTGATTAATGTCAAATGTGTTGGAATGCCAGTAAATTTAGAGAACCCGTTCTTAGGAAACTACATTATTTGCATATGTAAGCAAACCTTACATGAGGCATTATTTATGGTTTTTTTATATTCAGGTACACAGATGCTGCTACTTTCCTTTTGAGGTTGGGATTAGCAGCTGACAAATGCGATGCTAGAAATAGTCAGTGCAAGGTGTGACTTTATATTTTGTAGCCAAATTATTTATCTTATTACTATACATCCGTTTCATTTTCCATCCCATTCGCCTTGTTTTATATATTAGACGATATTATTTTCCTGAGAAATATGATGCTCCATTTTTTCTTTTTACTGATTTCTCTCTAAATCCATGTATGCTTTTACAAGTTGCAGTGCTGCTTTATGACTTAATTAGCTTGCAGTTTAGTTCCGATACACATTTTTTTGGTACTTATATGCAGAAAATTTTATGATTCCAACCCTATTATCTTTTCCTTAGTGTGGGTGATGGGAGATAATACTTTTTTTTCTTTTTTGCCGCAAGGATGAAAGTAGGATTTAGTCGAAGTGGCTAAAGTTATCCATGAATTTTTTTAGAACTAATACTGAAACCATTTAAAATACGACTTCTTTGTCAAATCAAATGCCTATATTTGGCTGGGTATGCAGATCAAGAAAATGCTTTCCAAATAAAATTTCCCAACAAGTTTTGGTTGATCCTGGTTCCTGGAAGATGTGACGTAATACCTATTTCCCGGTATTAACTGATAGTTTTTTGAACAAACTGGATTTTTAATAAGATTCTAAGTATCGTAATGCCTACATCCTGGGCAAGATTATTAGCTAATATAGCGGTTTCTACTTCCTTCAGTTAAGTGGTATGTAGTGCAATTTGCGCTGTCCTACTTAAATTTCCCCTTTCCTTATTAACTTTTGGGTTACCTTTTTATGCACCGTCTCAACAAGTTTACCTTTGTATATGTGGGATAAAAACTTAATCCTGAGGCATTATTGATCCATTTACCAAGTGATTTGATAAATATCACCTTGTGCAATCATCTGGTGGCTATTTTTTTTTTTTTGCTTGTTTGGCACTGACATTTTCTTATTTTCTTTATTTGTTGAAATGAAACTTTGTTGGTAACAATATGCTAACCGTATATATACTCATATAATTTCAGGCATATCTTAGTGCAATTATTGTGTATCTTTATGCTCATGACTTACAGCAAGCAGAAAAGTGCTACAATGACTGTTCACAGTAAGTGCAGTTCTCCTCCCTCAGCTACCTTTCGAACCAATATGTATTTGTAGTACTTGAGGATGTGGTTAGTGGCTCTCAACTAGTTGATCTTGTTAGCGCACAATCATTTCTTGATATATAGGTTATCATCATTATCATATGAGATATTGCAAGTTCAAGTGATTCTCTAGCAACTGTAAACAACTTTCCATAATATTTTCTTTCTTCAACGCCTACATAAAATTAAATTAAAGGCATTTTGGTCGTTTCCTATGTGATTTTTATCTCCAAAATGTGTCTCATCTATATGTTTATCAAATGCATCTAATCGATAGCATCTATTCCCTACCCAACAATCTTGCTGTATTTTGTAAATTGTTTTTCCTTCTTTTCTGTGTATTTGTGGTGGTGGTGGTGGGGGGGTTCAAATAGTTCTTTTCCCCTGAAGTGGGCAAAAAAAATGGAGCCCATTAGCAATATGCTTTACTCTGATGACTTTGGAAACTATTGTGTTTACTGTTACCAAATTATGTTGGCGCAGATTCTCTCTTGCCCCCTTTCCTTGGGTTTTGTTAAGCATTACAACAAAGTAAATCAATAGAACGATACTAGTTTAACTTACTGCTACCTACTCTAATCAGATATCAACTTGTTTTCGGATTGTTATTTGTGAAACTCAACAATTTTTTCTTCCCTTTTTTATGATCATATATTTCTACCCATTTCAGTGTTCCTTTTTTTAGTGGAGAATGCTGTCTCCCTTGCCACGTAAGGGAAAACCAGTTACATATTCCTTAAGAATAATTCCATAGCGGAAAGCATCTTGAAATTAACTATTCTGTCTATGATTTTTGTTTTATTTTTTTCTCATCTATCTTTATACCGAAAAATAATGACGTGTGTGTAGAGAAAAGTGATCTAAACTATTATTGTCTGGGATATTTTCAGAATCGATGCTTTCTTGAGCAGTGATCAGAACCGCTGTGCTAGTAAACTTCTTTCTGCTTATAGAGAAGGCGATGTAGAAGAAATTAAACTTGTTGCTCAATCGAGTACTATTTCCAATCTTGAAAATGTGGTACGTTTTGTTTTTGGAAATAAATGCTCTGCATGATAGATCTTACAATGCAACCATGGAAGTTTCTAATTGGCCAAAACTGTGCAGTTTTATGTGATACTTGGCTTAGAGTATCTTCTAGAGAACTAATACGGGCACTAGGGAATTAAAAATTGAATACACATGTCCATCCACAACTGGGCCAAAATAAATTAGTACATGCGTTCGGAACCTTTAAATAACCGAGATCATAAAGTTGACCACTGCATATCATTCTGGTCTATTTAATTGTCCACCGGCTAAGGGAGAAGGCATTAAATTGGTTATCGGAGGGGACTCTGAATTGAGCTCTGTTTTATTCATCAAATCACACCATAATCTTTGAAAATGTTGGTGGTGTTTGATTATATCGGTCTATGTTTCGATAGACAATGGTTCAGGACTAGCAATGCTATTCATTCAATTGCAGACAATTTGAGTGAAATAAAACTGTTTGCAGATCATAAAGCTTGCAAGGAAGTTGCCTACTGGTGACGTGGCTAAAATGCAGGGAGATGCTGATAAAGGTGGGGAAGAAGCCCTTGATGAAAATGACCTGACATGAGTTGAATTTCTGTCGTATGTTCATGTAAGTACATAGACATAAAAACATGTTTGATTTTAAGTTTGCTTGTCATAATAAAAAAAATAATCAAAGCTTTCTATTAATTGAAACTATTTTTGATTGATCAAGCTATTGATTAAGTTTGACATAACATCATTATGTACTATCAATTAAATCATTTTATTAATCGTAACTATTTTTAATTGATCAAGCTATTAATTAGGGTTGACATAATAATCGACATCCTTATAATGTTGGTACATGTCATCTATTTTTAAGGACTTAATTGACTATTTTTATGATAATAATTTAATTAATTGTTCTTTTTATGTTAAGGGCTTAATAGGACACAAGTTATAAAAGTCGTGCAAATAATTTTAAATAATTAATAATTTATAAATGTTTATGAGAAAATATTTGCAAACTTGATTGTTTTAGATCAACCACATTTATCAGGATTGCAATATATCATCTTAATCGTTAGTATTATTTTGACATTCTTATCATAAATATGGCCTTGTATCCCTTATTTATAGAACTCATAATCAATTTTAATTTATAGTGTAGAACAAACATAGAATATTTTTGAAATGATAGGATTCCAGTGGCCAAGGTGATGGCGTCGACTGTGATAATAATCAAGTGATAGTAGTTTTAAATATTAAAGATTTTTTGAATTATTTCAAATTAAGATTAGTTTGATAGAATGAGTATTTGGGGTTAAAACTATTATTATACCATGTCACGTCACTACTTCAATTAAGTATACGTCAAACCTAACAAGTGATCATAATAGAAGTGAAAGATAATGTTAAGTATGATTTTAAAAAGAAAAATAGTCGATGGTCAAAACAAAAGCATGAGAATAGGTGATTGATCAAATAGATAGTTTACCCAATATTTTTATGAGATTTTGAATTTAAGTGAGAACTTAAATACCAGAAAAATAAAGATGAAAATCTGGAGTGTTGTATGGAAATTGTGGATCCCGCAGACTGTTTCTTCATGTAGCTTTCGCTTAAAGGAAAATTTTCGAGTAACTAAGAGCGATGCAAGCGATGACTCGCTGATGATCCCTCCTACCCATCTGTGGCTTCACTGAGGAAAGTATCCTCCATATTCTTGGAGATTGCAATTCGGCGAGATCATTATGAACTTAGCTACTCCCATCACCCATGCTTTAAGTTGGTTGCTTTCCAATCTCTCTAAGACCGATCAAAAAGCTTCTTTCAATACTCGATGGTTTCTTATTTATGCTTCTTTCAATACTCGACGGGTGCTTCTAAGTCGGTCTCCAAGTTGCATGGGGATATGGTCCGGAGATCCTTCAAATCCAATATGATAATAAACAACCAGTACGCCTCCTTGATGATCACAATACGAACACCAGCTCTCTTTCACTCGTCCGTGCGATGCTAAATTTGCATGGACAATGGACATCCTTTGGGCCAAGTGTAGAAGGAAAAGAGAACAAATGGGCCTCAAATATCTCTTGAGACATGGAAAGAAAGCCCCTTTTGATGGAGAAGCAGAGAGAAGTTCTTAAAACCATATTATGGCAGTTATAGTGTGAATTTTGATGGTGATTGATGGAAGTTTGAATGGATCCCAAAAATATGATTTATATATATATTAAAGGGTCAGTTCTTTCTTGTCGAGGACAAACCAGTTTATGCATAGAAACATTTACTATGGAGATGGAAAGAGCACATGTTAATGGGAACATTAGTGAAAATCAATGTGCACAAATAATAAAATATGCAATATTTAATATGCTAAAACAATTATTCCACTTCAAATGCCACATAAATGAGACTTTCCGTCTCTATCAATTCATACACAAACATCACATTTTCCCCATTATACCTTCATCAGTGGACACAAATAAGTGGGTTGTTTGGAATAAAATGCAAATGGTTTTCCATTTTCAATTTGATGTACACAAATAATTTCTCACCAAATATCTCATGCCAACTTTCATCTTTTGCCGGTTGTTATGCCAACCACCACATTGCTCACCTACAAATGCCAAAATTTTATCACTTCACCATGTAGAATATCTTCAGAAAAATGAATTGCATGTACATATGCAGTTAAAACTATACTTACCAATTTCCCACTCTCGTCAACAGACATGGGGTTCTCAACAACAACTGTTTGGCTCTGACAAATACGATATTACATTCAGTAAACAGTTGATTACTCAAAACCATAATCATTTCCTCATAGTAAACCAAAACAAAATATAAATTTCAACAACTTACTGCTGAAGTAGATGGCTTAGATCCTGTGGCAGCTGTCTCTTTAGGTCTATTTACGGGAGGGGGCACCCTCACATTTCCCATCTGAAAATGAGAAATGGAGAGCGAATGTGTAAACCTCCCAATACAGTTTTCTATCTATAAACATACACATGCATAGTATCTCACAAAGGTGTCTAAAAAAATCTTTATTGGATGGGGAAATGCAGAGAATATGTATTTATCCTTCTGAAACATAGCAAAGACTAAGCCTTCTGACCGATTTATTCAACCAAGGGCAGTCAATGTTATTAAACCAATTTATCAAAAAGAGTTATTAAACCAATGATGTCTAATATATGGCAATGTACGAAAAACCACACCACAGCATGAAAGGATGCACAAATCTTGAATATATATTTAAAAGGTAAATCAATAAAATGCATGTCAAGAAGAAGTTTACCAACAATAATTGTTCTATCCATTCTTGAATCTGCTTAAGAGATGCAACACCTAAGTTAACCCAAAGCCCGTTTCATGAAAGGGACCTAATCCTATTTCCACTAAACTTAACCAAATAAATAGACACATTTGGAACAGACCAAATACATACTAAAGAATTTCAAGATTTTGAAAAGCCAAAACTCAGTTTCATATGACTTAATAATAGATCAGAAAACAAGAAATAAGATATGAAGAGAAAGAATGATACTGTCAAGCAAATTATGAACTAACCCTCTTTTAGCCTCATGTGAAATGAAAGTAAATCTTTAAACCTCTACGAAGTCTTAGATATATATTTATATGTTAATGACAGATGCGTTAATGTAAAGTTGTGTAAATTCAATCATACTTACACCAACATTAGTAACATATTGACAGACGGCACATTTGACTGATGGAGCTCCATGAGGATACATTAAGGTTGTATGGCAGTTCCCGCAATTGATGTGAGCAATCTGGTTAGATGCTATTTCATGGTCATGAGATCAAAGAAAGAGAAAAATAAAAGCTCAATTCACAAAATGACCATGAAGGTGAAAACAAAGAGAAGATGAAGAAGCAAAATATAAGATAAACAACCAATTGTGTTGCAAGGCACCCTGGAAAAGCAATGGTCTGATATGAAAGAGATAAAAAAACAGAAAATACTATATGGTTTGTACTCACTCCCAAATTAGATCAGAATAGCCATCGAACACATGGCAGACAAATTTAGAAGCATAGTGAGATCTGTAACTAAAGTAGCTCAGGAAACTACTAGAGGAGGATGGCGATGGCAATGACAATAGAAACAAAGAATATAAGGGTAACAAAAAAAAATGGAACAACATCAAATACATTGTAACACTTGAAAACCAAATATAGGACAAATAAGCAATAATCAGAAAATGGAACAACATTCACAAAGAGAAAAATGAACAAGATTCCAGAAAAAATTGAAGTAGCAAATATTCAACCCACAAGCACAATATTTTCTTAGAAGCACCAAAAATTCCAATCTTCTTTAACAGAAGCAATTCCAAACGTTACAACCACAAATTTAAATAACATTCACAAAATCATTAACTTGTACCTGGTGCAATATTAATGGTGTGACAGCAAGAGCATCTTACACTTGTTGCTCCACGTGTATACATTAGCAATGTTCGACAACCTCCACATATGAGTTGAGCCATTTCCATACCTGCATGATTATTTACAAACTTGGTTATCGAGCCATAAGAGTTTATTCAACTTATTTACAATCAAAATAAGAGGAATGTTATTGGCCACTCCATGTTAATTTTTCTTTCAGTTGAACTCTCATGTCTCTAGAACTTTGTAGATAGCAGCACGGCCATAATTAGCATTACCAGATAGTTTCAAAGTATCTATCAACAAAAGAAACATGAAAAAGGAAAAGGGGGGTTCCCATAGGAGAAGACATTCTTTGCCCGCTTTGCAGTCAGTTTGAAGAAACTGTCCAGCATCTTTTCATTTCCTGCTCTGTTTCGTGGGAACTATGGAACAAATTAATCAGCTTCTGGGATCTTTCCTTAGCTCTGCCTCGTGATCCACCCTCCCTCCTTAGCTCGTGGTCTGATTTGAGGGTTAATTCGTCTATATGGAAGTTTATTCCGGGGACTGTTTTTTGGTCAATATGGAAAGCAAGGAATGACATTGTTTTTTGATAGAGGAAAACTGGACAGAACCACCCTTTTCTTCATTGTTAGATTCAGGTTAGAGAAATGGTTTTTAGCCAAGTACCCTCACGTCCCTATTCAGGTGGATTTGTTGATTGGAGATCCTTCCCTGGCAGACAAAAATTTTGTTTTAAAGGTTCAGAGTAGGCCTTTGCTTTGTTGGAGTCCCCCTCCAGTCGATTTCTTTAAGATGAATATGAATGGGGCTGTTAGTTGTGACGGAATGGTAGGAGGTATAGGTGGTATTCTAAGAGATTGGAATCGCTCCTCTTTTGTCTTTTTCAGAAAATGTTGGTCCAAGCCCTCCCCTTTAGCAGAATTGAAAGCCATCAAAAAAGGCATCAAGATCTTTATCTCTTCAGAATGGGTTTCGGAGGGTAGGCTGATTGTTGAAAGCGATTGCAAGTCAGCAGTGGATTGGATTAAATCTCCTTCTTCGGCTACTATTTTCTTTTCAAATCTTGTAAAGGACATTGTGTCTATTGTTTCAGATAAGGAGTTTATTCTTAGGTTGATCCCTAGGGGTTGTAATTGTGAGGCTGATAAGTTAGCAAAAGAAGGGGATTGGGTGATTGTAAGGTTTTATTATTTAGCTGTTCTGTGTGTTTTTAGAGAACAGTTGTATTGGGTGTTTGTTTAAGTCTTATGTAACCTGTTTATTTTTAATATATTGAGGTACTCTTTTCCTCCTTCCGCTAGTCGGTTCTTTCCTTAAAGAAAAGGACTACTATGAGGGAGGTTTTTAATGAGGCCTCCTACTTCTATAAAAAAAACATGAAAAAGGAAAAAAAGTTCATTTACATACAATAGAGTACCAACCAGGTTGGCAGACTAACCTTGCAATTAATGTTTGTGCTTTGTTTGGAGTGCTCCTATAATTTGAACTCAGTAGTTATCTAGTTTATACAATCAAGTTCACATAAATAGGCAGGTATAAAAGCAAGTAACTCTACAGTAAAACAAACTAAGTATGATGAGCAGCATATACAACAATTAGCCAAAAATTAACTTTAAAATCTCTAATATGAAAAGCAGTAGGTTCACACAAACAAATTGCCATCAGTTTGATTTCACTGTTTTATATACATACATACATATACATAGTACTAAACATAGATAAGACCACTTACAACATAAAAGAGAAAAATACCAACTTTATGCACTAGATCTCTTGAGTTTCAATCAGAAACAATCATGTCTAATTGTCCATGATACCGGAAACAAGCAACTGCAGGGATAGCTCAGTTGGGAGAACGTCAAACTGAAGATTTGAAGCTTGCGTGTTCGATCCGCGCTCACCACAATTTAAGTGTTTGTGAGTTTTTCCCGCTGTTGTTTGATTTGTTTAGAGAGCGACTGCCCAGGGAGGTGTTGGATGAGGGTTCGGCTAAGTGGGAAACTGCTGTTGTTGGACAGTTTATTAATAATTCACCAAATTTCCATTTGCTTCAGAAAGTTGCTAATTTGTTGTGGGGAAAGGAGGGGTTTGTGGAGGTGAAGTATTTTGGTCCGAATCTCTACTTGATTGTTTTTCCCTCCCATAAGACTAAGAACTCGGTACTCTTAGCGGGTCCTTGGCATATTCAGCATAAAAGATTGTTGCTTAGGAAATGGCTGTCTGGGATTCAGTAGATGAAGTATCTGGATACAGCTCCGGTTTGGACAAAGTTGAGGCAGACTCCTTTGGAGCTGTATGCTCATAAGGGCCTTGGTTACCTGGCAAGTGCAGTTGGTAAGCCATTATATTCTGATCGTAGCACGGCTTTATGTTTGATTTTGCTAATGTTTGTGTTGAGGTTAATGTAGAGGATAAACTACCTTCTTGTATAGCGGTTGATTTAGGAGGGGATGTTTTGTGTTGAGGTTAGCTGGCTGCCTCCTAAGTGTATAGAGTGTAGGAAGTTTGGCCATGATGGGAAGCATTGTCCTAGGAGGGAGTCAGTTCAATGGTTTGTCCAAGGGCGTAGAACCAACCCAAGAGCTGGGGAATGTTGGCTGATATCCAGTAAATGCTTTGGAAGGGGATGCTGTAGACTTGGAGGCGGGGACAACGTGTAACTGGGGTGTTGGTGGGGGGATGTGCAATGCAACGGTAAGGGTAAGGAAGTTGTGGAGGGGGTGAGTTGGGATTGTTGTTCTTCTACTCTTGCTTTGGTTGAGGTGTGCGGTGGTCCCGGAATCAAATAGATTTGAGATTCTTCAATCGATTGAGGAAGCTGCTGTCAAGGATATGAGGGCTGCAGCAGCTGGTGTCTCCGAGTTGATGGCTCAGTTGAAGTCTAAATCGCTCCCTAAGGGAAGGAAGAAGGGGAGGGGGTAACCAAGGGGAAGAGCTAGTCTTGGTCTTGCTTTGCCATGTGTTTTATGGTCTGGAACGAGCGGGGAATGATCCCGCGAAATAGTGTATTGAAGAGGGCTAGTTTACTGAAGCTGGAGATTTTGTGTTTGTTGGAAACAAGAGTCAAACAGAATAATGCTCAGGGTATTTTAGATAAGGTGTTTTCGGAGTGGAAGGTATTTCATAATTACTCGTGTGCGGAAAATGAGCGTATTTGGTTTCTCTGGAAGGGAGCCTGGGATTGTCGACTTATTCAGGTAACAAAGCAAGTTGTGTCTTGTAGCATTAGCAAGAGAGAGTACTCTATTGTGTTTTCGACTGTTTATGGTTGTAATTTGGGCATGGACAGGAAAGTTTTATGGGAGGAGCTTAAGGATCTTCAGAGTAGTATTGAGGATTGTAGTTGGGTGGTTGTTGGGGACTTTAATGTGGTTTCTAATTCGAGTGAGAGTTCTGGTTTTGATGGTCGCCAGTCTAAGAGTCAAGACATGCAGGATTTTGTGGATTGTCAGCAAAGTCTTGAGCTAGTTGATCGTCCTTATTCTAGTAGCTTGTTTACATGGTGTAACACGAGGGAAGGGTGTTGTCTATAGGGGATCCTATAGGGCCATATAAAGCCAAGGCTGTGTGGGAAATGTTTAGGAGGGGTGGTGTGGGTTGGCACAGGGTGGTTTGGGGTGACCTAACTGTTCCTTGGCACAACTTTATTACTTGGTTGGTTATGTGTAATCGGTTACCTACTAAAAACTGGTTGAGGACGTGGGGGATGCAAGTGAGTTTTGCGTGAGTTTTATGTGATGCGGTACTGAAGGAAGACCGTGATCATCTATTCCTTTTCTATGTTTTTGTTAAAACTGTTTGGGGTTTGGTTTTGCGAACGAGGGGTTGGAATATGCAAGCGGGTGCTTGGCTTGATTTGGTGGAGTGGGTGCAAGTAAACGGCAGTGGTAAGTCCTTGCAACACTCGATCATTCAAATTGCTTGGAATGCTCTGGTTTATTATGTTTGGCAGGAATGTAACTACATGTTGCATGGGAAGAAAGAGAGGGAAGCTCAGGTAATTTTTTATTTGATTAGGAACACTGTTAGGGATAGGCTGAGGGGGGAAAGCTTGTGGGTTTGCTGTTTCTGTGTTTTTGCTTAAAGGCATGGGAGCTGGGTAAAAGGGTGGTTAATGTGAGTTAACTCTTGTAGCATATTTTGCTGTTATTTGATGAAATGAAGCATTTACTTATCCAAAAAAACAAGCAACTTGCCGCAACTTCAAAAAACTAGTGAATAGTTTTACATTTGCAAAAAATAAAAGAATTGAGAGACGAAGTGTACCAGGGGGGGTAATTGTATTGCATAATGCACAACGAACACTAGTTGCCCCTCTAGGATAAAGAAGAACGCTCCTACAGCCACTACAGACAAGTTGGCTCTGCATATCTGCAATCATTGAAGATGGCCATAATAAAGATGATTTTTCCAAAATGCAGGTTGCAATTGATAGAGTTGGTTTGGAGATTAAATAAGAAATAGATGGTAGTAAAATGTGAAGCATTAACCCAAGGAAATACACCTCTGTTAAGCAACATGACCTTCAGCAGTCAATATCCATAGCATTCCAAAATACTGAAATTACAAAAAGGGGGGGGAATCTAATAGTGATACAAATCTGACTGAAAGAAGGTGCAAATTCATTTAACAACTAGCATACACGGCAGCTTGATGAGAGTGCTATCTCTAAGTTCAATATTAGCTGTACTGAAATGTGAAATCATATACGAAAGCATTAACAATTAAAAACCACATGAATCCAAAACTTGAAATTCCAAAATTTGGGAAAGAATAATCATTAAAACAGAATATTACAACCAAATGCTAAGTCTCTTTTCAAGCACGTCTCCCTTTTAATCAGATATTTGGCAACATCTCAGCACAATTAAGACTTCTCTTTCTAAAATTCCTCTCTTTTTTCAACTAGATCCCCAGCTAATAAAAAGTTACAGCGAAATTGGGGATCGTCCAATATTATTTGAAATCAAATTTACAAAGAGAATATGAAGAGTTTCACGTAAAACCAATTTCAATTCTAAAAGCCTTAAAATTGACGAACAGAGATAAGATCAAATTAGAAAACCCCAAAGAATAATTTGAATTGAAAAATTACCCAATTTCCCCTCCTTCAACAAGAAACCAGTTCCAATTCTTTGATGAGATATCGAATTGAGTTCCTATCAAAGAGATTCAAGGGGGGGAAAGTTAATCGTGATTAAGAGGTATCTTTCTTTAAAAAATAAATAAATAAGGAAGATAAATTTACCTTGAAGAAGGCGGAGAAATTGAATGCAAGAAAGAAAATACCGCTGTTAAAATGGAAATTAGATGCTCTGATATTTTGTAAATACTGGTAGATCCGCGTAAATCCTGTAACTAGGAATCATCCGGTTTAACCCGAAACCCCATTTTCCCCCCCTGAAATATGCTGTTCTTGTGATTAAAGATGGGATTAATTGAATTATATTTGTTGTTTACTTTAGTTGGTTAAATTGTTTTTTAAGGTAGATACTCTACGTATTTATCATTTCAGATATTCAAAATTTTATTTTATTATATTTTTAAGATCATCTTGATAATTGTTGTTAAAATAATTTGTCTACCAATAGTTCTTTGATATGTTTGTTCAAGGTTTTTATTGATATTAATTCTTTAAAATAAAAATATTAAATTTTAAAAAATATATTTTCTTTTAATTTTTACTCTAAATCCTTAAATTCTTTTAGGTGACGTTTGGTTCGCTAGAATGTTTATGAGGTAATTTAAATTTGTGAAGGAATTGGAATCTGTCAGGAATTAGAATCCAATTTCATTTTTTGTTTGGTTCGCAGACATGTCAGATGAATTTGATTTCAAAATGACAGAATTGTCCTTCTTGATTTTTTGCTTTATTTTAGTTTGTTTTACAACTTACATGTAGTAATATATTATAAAAAATTAAAAAATATTAATTTTTCATTTTATTGATTGATTATTCATTTCAATAAATTATAAAAATCATGCTAATAAACATAATAAGTTAAAATCATCGCAATTAAAACATGTTAATAAGTTACCAAAAGATAGAGCAATATTTCGATACATTTCAATCGAAGTATGTTAATTAGTTACCAAAAAATATACCAAAAACTATTTTTATTCAATATAGGAATTAGAAACTCGATCCGATACGACACAAAATAATAAAATATTATTTTTATTCAATAAAAACATTGACTTAATTGAAAAAAATTATATATATAGGGGTATTATTGTAATTATTCCTAAATATATAATGTAAAATTATATATTTTTTTCGGGTCAGTCCGGTTTTTTTCACCCTAAACCCGAATCTGACCCGAATATCACACTTAAAAAACCTAACCCGACCCGAACAAAATAAAGTTTCACCCGTCCCGACCCGAATATATGAATTAGAAATCCGACCCGACCCGACCCGAAATAATAAAAAAATATTTTTATTCAATAAAAATAGTGATTTAATTGAAAAAATATATATATAGAGAGGGGTATTATTGTAATTATTCCTAAATATATAAGGTACAATTATATATATTTCGGGTCGGGTATTTTTCACCTTAAACCCGAACTCGACCCGACCAAAATAAAGTTTCACCTGACCCGACCCGAATATATGAATTAGAAACCCGATCCGAATCGAAATAATAAAAAATTATTTTTATTCAATATATGAATAAGTTACCAAAATATTGATGATGGTAGTATGGTCAAATTTCAATTCTATCCAACAAGGGAAAGTTAATTTCATCCATTATATGATAGAATTCAATTCCCTTGTTGGAGGGAATTCAATTCCCTTGTTGGAGGGAATTAAAATTTGACCATACTACCCTCATCAATATTTTGGTAACTTATTCATATATTGAATAAAAATATTTTTTTATTATTTCGGGTCGGGTCGGGTGAAACTTTATTTTGGTCAGGTCGGATCAGTTTTTTAAGTGTTATATTTGGGTCGGGTCGAATTCGGGTTTAGGGTGAAAAATACCCGACCCGAAAATATATATAATTTTACCTTATATATTTAGGAATAATTACAATAATACTCCTCTATATATAATTTTTTTCAATTAAGTCAATGGTTTTATTGAATAAGAATAATTTTTTATTATTTCGGGTCGGGTCGGATTTCTAATTCATATATTCGGGTCGGGTGAAACTTTATTTTGGTCGAGTCGGTCGGTTTTTTTTAAGTGTGATATTCGGATCGGGTACGGGTTTAGGGAGAAAAATACCTGACCCGACCCGAGCAAAAAAATATATAATTTTACCTTATATATTTAATAATAATTACAATAATACCCCTCTCTCTCTCTATATATATATATATATATATATATTTAATTAAGTCATTGTTTTTATTGAATAAAAATAATTTTTTTATTATTCTGGGTCGAGTTTCTAATTCATATATTCGGGTCGGGTGAAATTTTATTTTGGTCGGGTCGGGTCTCGGATGGAGGTTCCTTTGTTATCGGGTTGGGTCGGTAGACCAAAAACCCGACCCATGGTCATCCCTAATTAGGATAATTTTAACTTATGGTGTTTATTAGCATGATTTTTATAATTTATTAAAATGAATAATCAATCAATAAAATTAAAATTTAATGTTTTTTATATTTTTATAATATATTGCTAAATGTAATTTATAAAATAAATTAAAATTAAGCAAAAAAAAATAAAAAGGGCAATTCTGTCGTTTTATATTACTGAAATTAAATTCATCTGACATATCTGCGAACCAAACAGAATATGGAATTGGATTCCAATTCAATTTCCTGCCAACCAAACAGAATATGAAATTGGATTTCAATTCTTGTCAGATTCTAATTCCTTCACAGATTCTAATTCTCTCATAAACATTACAGCGAACCAAACTCTACCTTAGAGAATAGACAGTGAGCGAACGGTTAAAAGTTTAAACGATTTAATTTTAATTCGGACGACGATGTAGTATCACCAACGGCTATGAACAAACGATAATTGATAAAACGATTTTAAAAACACTAGACATCGCCGAACTAGGGAAATGGTGCATCCGTCTTTGGGACAGATGGTCGGCGAGCACTTGATTTCATCGTAGTCGTCAGTTCAATGCCTCTAAAAATCTAATACCGTGATGAACGTAGTAATAAAAAGCACCAGAGGATTTAATTAGTACATTTAACCCACACAAATGTGGGGGTGCGGTAGTGCTGTAAACGAGCTAAGTCGAGTTTAATTATTGTTGAGCTCGACTCGAACTCGAAAAGTTTAAAATTAGGCTCGACTCGCGAGCTGAAAATTATTAAGCTTAGCTCGAACTCGAAATATAATATTGAAACTTGACTCGAACTTGAAAAGGCTTGAACTTAAAAAAAAATTCAAGAGCTCGATTGAAGCTCGAGACTCTAGCTCGATTCAAGCTCAAACTCGAATTTGAACATACAAAAATCTTATATTACATTTAAAAATATATTTTTTGAATTTTTATAATTATCAATAATGTATTTTTAATATAGTTTTAATAATGTAATTTTAAAAAATCTAAAATTATAATATAACATTTTTTCGAGTAGCTCACGAGCTTTTCGAGTCGAGTATTAAGTAGCTCGTTAAGATTCGATTCGAATTCGAGCTCGAGTCGAGTTCATTCGATTTGAGTATTGATTGAGCTTTAACCGAGTCGACCTCGAGTAGCTCACAATCTGTCTCGTCTCATTTACAACCCTAAGTGGGGGCGCTTCAAACACCATGTAATTCAATTGCTATAACTTTCTTATATTTTATTTTTCTCAAATACTTCCCTCATATTAAAACATTCAATTTCGATGATCGTATAAGAAAACAATCGATCAATGAGAGTTCGATGATAGGAATGTGACTAATTGGTAATTAAATGATACATATGGAATTCAAGAATTTGAGCTTTAGAGATTTAGAAGATTTTATATTTTAAAAAAAAAATTAATGATTTTAGAATTTAAAAAAATAAATTTAAAGAAAATTATGAAATATGTTACGTGTCAAGCACTAATTGGATAATATATTTTTTAACGATCACACTTAAATGATTGCTTTGAAAATTTCGGATACTTTGACAAAAAAAATAGACATATAAACTAAATAAGAGATCTATTTTGATACCTTATTTTTAGCTAAACTAATATTTGTGTGTTGGGTAAATGATATTTTGGGCCCTTTTAACCAAATATCAGCCTTGTCAAAACTAATATCTAAAATAGCATATTTTCAATTTATTTATTATACTGACATTGTATCACGTAAGGTAATATCACGCTACATTAAAAAAATTTCAAATATATACTTATAATAAGAAACGTCTTTGCTTAAGTGACAAAATGACGATAAAAACTTATAAGGTAAGATCAAAATAATATAAAAGAAGAAATGAGAAAAAATATATATGAATATAAAAAAAAAATTAATCATGACACTTGTCGTATTTGCGTGAATACAAAGTAGACAATGGTGATACGCATAGGTATAAATCTTACCTTCAATCATTCAATGAGTATATGTTTAAAAATAAATATTTAAACATTTGAAAAATGCACATCTAAACAATGTGATATTTGAGAATCTCATGGTCAAACATACTAATTTTAAGTTGTCAATGACAAGTCTTGAATTTAATTAGACATGTATCAATATGACAGCAAAAACAATTTTGAATACTAAGATCCCAAGTATTTCAAAAAACAACAAGAGTTCAAGACCTTATTCTATTCGTAATATGTATTTATCAACTCAAAATCAATAACTTTGGCTATAGAATTCTCAAATCACACATTGTTTAGATATTGATTTTTAAGTATTTAAACATTTTGATCATGCACTTAAGACAATACTCTTACACACATGTTACCGTCGCAGTTTGTCTCGGCTTGTGCTCGTGTTTTTGACACTTAGTCACTTATTGCATGTATTTCTTATTTTTAGATAGAATTCATATTTTTAGTGCATTTTCCCCTTTTCTTCCATTTTGATCCACTTTTTGGATATCAATACTTCAAACGACCATCCCCAAACTTTCTTTTTTCTTTTCGTTTTGTATTTCTACCCTCTTATTGTTGTTTATTAATTATTATTTCTTTTAGTTGCTGACACGGTCTCTTGGTTTGCTTTTACAAATTATAAAAGTCTCTGGCTGCTAGCAGGGGTGATTTTTTTTTTTTAATAAATTGACCATAGTAAATCGTGACGGTTGATTTAGGGTTTTGAGATAATAATTGTTGAAAGTTGTTTATGAAGGGTTTTCTTCGTTCTGGTGATGAAGGTTTTGTAGGAACCCCTCTGTAGGGGAGGTGATCGATTTATAGAGCGGCTCCTTAGGATGATGTCCCTAAAAAGCTGAGTAATTGATTTAATAAACACCTTCTTGATCAAGGTACTTAGATCTTTCGGATAAAGATTTAAACTAACAATCATATAAAATATTATGAAATTGCATATAAATTTATTTAATATATATATATATTATATATATGAAAATAAACAAATGATTTACTTATTATATATTGCAATGACCGGGATCTCTTGGAATAATGTATACAGCTTAAGCTATAAATACATATACGTGTGTGATAGGCATGCATAGACTACATTGGTATTCGTAGAAGAGGCTTTTTCCTGGACCCTACAGGCTTGATTTTGACAAAATGGCACAAAACTTTGGCATAGCGACTCATAATTCCTTTCAGCTTCAATCCATCATCGTGTCGGTGTTTCTTAACCAGCTGAAGCTGTTTCTCTTCCAGAGATGTGCTCATCATCTCGTTTTCGTCCCCCTTGATGAGTTGCTTCAAGCTTTTACGATCACTGCCTTGATGATCACCTTTTCTTGGGGAGCTTTGATCGAAAATATGAGCAATGCCTTTCAGAGGACTGATATCCCACTTTGTTTCTTGGAGATTCAGTGGCTTCCTGGTTCTCTTGGACATGGTAATATCATAATGCAAATTGCAGTGGCTCCCCATTTTCTCCCTTGGCTATGTGGTTATGGCTACACTGGCGATTGCTTAATATATGAACAATTAAGGGGAGGGAGTAGGTTAAAGGTGAAAAGTCTGTTTTCTTCCAACTGAACTGCAGAGGTTGAAATTTTACCAACCAATTCCCCTTGTTTCAAGTATGTATGATGTTTCATGCTCTTTTTAAGCAAAAGGGAAGACATTTAAAAGTTAAGTTGCTTTATATTTGATGCACCATGCACTAGCGTTCCACTGTGGGATACTTATCTATCAAACTCGTGTTTTCAAAACTGTTTTTAGCAATCTTATTGTCAAGACGTGGCATTAATTATGCTTTAAAGTTAGTACATGTTTTAGCATTCTTAATTGAGAAATAAGCAACCAAACTTACAAGTCCAAGTATATGGGATACTGTACGAACTAAACGACTTCGATGATTAATAAATTATTATTATTTATTGAGGTTTCGGATTTAAGCACGACAGTTGAAAGAGTGTATGAAAACAAATACTCATGGTTTTATGATAATAGTAGTAATAACAAAAAAAAGTGTATTCTATAAAATATCGTTTTGATTTGGTAGGATTAGAGATTTTAGGGAAAAAATGAAATTAGGATTTTTAAGTTGGGTTAGGTTTTTTCGTAAGTATAGCCGGATCGGATTTGAGTTTAAAAAACTCGTCCTTCCGATGAGAAAATTATGAAAATACTTTCTTTAAAAATATATGTGAGAAAAATAAAATTTATATTTAAATTAAATCAAGCTTTCAATTGAATTTTTAGATTAAATTCAAATATATAAAAATATATTTAAATTTGAATCAGATCAAGATAAAATATTGTTATTATAATATTATATCAAGATTTAATTAATTAAAAAAACCAATGTTAGCAGCTCGTCGTTATCCCTATAAAAGATAGATGATCAGGGCCGTGGCTGGGAGGGGGCGCAAACTGCGCGACCGCACAGGGCCCCCCAAAAAATGGGCCCAAAAAAATATATATATAGTGGCGTTTTTACCAATAAACGCCACTATAGATAGACATATTGTGACGTTTTTTGAAAAAAACGTCATTATTATTGTGGTTTTTTTTGATAAAACGCCATTATAGATGGATTTATTGCGGCGTTTGTCAAGAAAACGCCACTATTATTGTTCCAAAATCGAATATATCTAAAAAATAGGGACCCTTTATACGAATTTGTACAGGGCCCCCGAAAACTCTGCCACGGCCCTGTAGATGATGTGTTTATTGAGAATTCATTTAGGTTATCTACGGTTAGTGATGACGATTAGTACGAATGAACATAAAAGAAATTAGGTAGATCTGTCTTTTAATTGATCTTAGGTTAAGTGTTAATATTTTTCTCGTGTTTGCATCGTTGAAAGTAATTAACGTGAAATGAGTGAAGTGGGTCGAAATCTGTCTTACAACACCTTCTCGTCGTTTTCCCCAATACTTAATTGTGGTGCTTGGTCATCAATTAACGACAATTTGTATATTATAAAACTGAAATGTACGGTTGAATTTGAATGTGAAATAAAATGAATTATTGATAATTTAGAGGTTTGGTAAAAGAATTAGAGAGGAAAAAAGTAAAAATCTAAATTTGATAAGCATGAAATAATTAAAAAAACACAGTCTGGATCAAGGGGGCGTATCAAAATGAATTATTGGTAATTTGATAGAATACATTAATTTTATTAAAAATAGAAAATATATAAAATTATAGTAAAGGTTTACGGCTACAACTGTAAATTAAATATATAAAAAAGATATTTTTTTAAATACGAAAAAAAATTAGTCACTTAAGATCATAAGGATCATACAAGTAAACTGTTAAAAAATCTAACCAAATAGACTCGAACAAAAGGTGATGTGTAAATTAATTTTTTAAATACTAAACATATAAAATTATTTTTTGATATATATTTTCTAAATTTCTAGAAAGACTTTGCCACCCTTGAATGGTGATGTGTAATGTGTTTAGAATCTGAATTTAAACGGATTTTAAGCTCCTAACTATATAAAATTTATTTTTAAGTGTTCTGAAATTTGTAAGTTTTATTTTTAAAAATAATGATTAAATTTAAATTATAATTAGATATATTTGGATAGAAACACTCTCTTACGATGTTTTTATAACTAACACGTTTTAATTTAAAATAATTTTATAAATATGATAGTTTTTTTTAATTAATCACTGGTATCCGATCAATTAATTGATTAATTCAGATCGGGTATTATAGAGGCGAGTGCGACCTTTCCAACCCAGTTTGCTCTATTCGCAAACTTCAGGGTTCAAATCCCAGATTTTATTTAAAAAATCTAGTGTCTCATCTCACTAGATCAACTTATGGTTGGATATACATATGATAGTTTTGAAAAAAAAAATAAAAATCTATATTGATATAAGAAAAGTCAGCCACTGACGTTTTCAATGGGAAAAAAAGTATGCAGCATTCAAATTGCATATAGTTTATACAAAAAGATGTTGACTTTTGTGTTGTATAAAGATGAGGAAATTAAGAAGGAAAGCATAATGAAATAGGAGAGCGTAAAATGAGCGTTGAAAAGATTTTGATATTTGGTGGCACCGGCTACCTGGGGAAATACATGGTGAAAGCAAGCGTTTCCTTGGGTCATCCTACCTTTGTTTACACCCGCTCTCTCCCTCCTAACTCTCCAGCTTCCAAGTCTCTCCTTATCAAGGAATTTGAATCCATGGGAGTCACCATCTTCTATGTATTTTTCTTCTTTTCTTTTGGATTGTACACAAATGATTATAGTTAACATTTATCATCAAACTGAACATAAAACTTCTGTTATACTGATTGGTTTTTGTTATAATACACGGGGGGATCTTGATGAGCATGAGAAGCTAGTATCAGTGCTTAAACAAGTCGAGGTTGTCATTTCCACAATAGCTGTCCCACAACATCTTGACCAACTCAAAATAATAAGTGCCATCAAAGACGCCGGCACAATTAAGGTTACTTCTCCTTAATTAAGTATTAAATTAAAGTTTTGAATATATACATATATTAGGACCATATTAATGGTGTTATGATCAAAAGTATGCTAAATTGTTATGAAAATTGTAGAGGTTTGTGCCATCAGAATATGGAAATGAAGTATACAGACCGTTAAGTGCACTTCCACCATTTGAAGCTGTACTTGCCAACAAAAGGAAGATTAGAAGGGCAGTTGAGGAAGCTGGTATCTCATTCACCTACTGTAACACCCCAAATCGATGTGGGTAGCCCGATCCGATTCGAGAAGTCACATTAGGGCCACCGGAGCGACCCACCGTAAAAATAGCGGAAATTTTAAAACTTTTTATCAGAACATGTAAACTTATAAAATCATTTATCACTATTTAAAAATAAAACAGATTTCCAAACTCGTATATAAATCAAAATACAATTACATGCCCCCTAATCACAAGTACCATACTCTGCAACCACGCCGGAAGAACTCCCTTACTGAAGTCGATAGATGCACTGGTACAATTGTTTTAACCTGAAAAGGTGAGTAATAGAGTGAGCTTTGGAAAGCTCAGTAATACAGAACTACCAGATGATGCTACATGACATGTAGATAAATGGAAAGCCATATAATTTCCTTAATGAATCATATGTATACCAGGTTGCAGAATAATTTGGGGTTCCCTTAGAAGTTCATCGAGTAGAAGCCATGAATCTCAGTTCATAAGAAACCTTTCAAAGTATGACATTTTCAGGAGATCGAATAGGATGTCTAGTGTGTTCCAACAGTATAATAAAATCATAATAGGTACAAATCATAGTCCAGTAAATCTCACAATTTCGTAAAAGAGTTTAACTTTTGAAAATCATAGTTTAAACCCTTTTCTGGTACACCATCAGTAGTTCCAAAAATTATTTTCCATATAGCTTACTTTATGCACATAGCAAAAAGAAAGCCGACTTAAGGATAGGCTATGAAGCTTGTATCCTTAAGCCCAAGTCAATAAGTCCATATAGCTTACCCTAAGCACACAGCAAAGGAAAGCCGACCTAATGAAACATCTTGGGGCCCTCAAGAGTCACATTAGGCCCATTTAGCTTGATCAGAGCTATTCCATCGTAATTCAATTCCAAAATTCAATTGCACCGTGACATAAATTCCATAAATCCAAAAACATGGTAATCATATACCATTTCAAAACAAAAATTAGATAGCAGCCATATTCCATAAATTGTCACATTAAATTGGTGCATCCATAAAACAATAACCAATGAATTCGGTGTACCACATATTAAAACCAATAAAACAGTTCAGTAATAAGTAGGGAACACACTAGAGAATCCCAGTATTTCCAGAGGCCATTGTAGTTATCATTTTGGATAACATGAAACTTATGAAATTTGATCGAATTCCTGGAACAAGGTCCTATTGAGGAGAATCGATTACTAACCGATCTAGCCAGACATTTAATGTTGATACATTAGAATCCCACTATATTTTCGTGTGCTTTAGGAAAACGTTCAGGAACCTTTATACATAATAATTCTAAATTCAGATTTACTGCGAGTGATTCCATTACCCAAACAATCCGGGGTATTCAGGAATATACTTTAAATTCATAGGATTTCAGCCCAATTGAACCAAATGAGATATTCAGAATCTTTTCCATCTGCGTTACTTGTTTTTTTTTCAAACATGACCGAAGTGATTTTAGATGAAATATAGAATCGAAGATTCAAGTCATTTACAATCTACGACTATCGATCATATTATCAAACAACTCGAGTTACACAACTCTCAAACTGATGCATGTCAACAAGTCAATTCATTATCCTTCCAGTGTATTCACTCTTTAATACCATAGTGCAGATCCATAGATCATCCCCATAATCATCACTGAATAAATCTTCCAACGGTCTTTATTTCATTTTCACGTTTCTACAATATCAGGAAATACTGACGTACTTGATCCATGGCTCATAACCCATAATGACAATTCATCATGTAAGTTCAAC